GCGTTTGGGGGCCTGGATGGCCTCGCGCTTGCCAGCCTCGCCCTTGCGGGCTTGGACGGCGCCGCCGCGGCGCCAACGCAGCCGCCAGCGCCAATCGATCCCGCCACTGTGGCCGCGGCCGCCGCGGCCCCGGACCTTCCAGCGCTGCTGGCATGCCTGCCGCAGCTGGCGCCCGAGACACACGAGCAGCCGCAGCCGCAGCCGCCGCCGCAGGGTGCGCCTCTGCAAGCGGCAAAGCAAACGCAGCCGCCCGCGCCTGCGGACTCGTCCGCTGCCGCGACGCTGGGCCTTGCGGCTCACGCGCCGCCGCTCCCGCCGCCGCCGCCGCGGTGGGGCGAGCTGCCGGGATTGCCGGCCACAGCCGTGGCCGCGCAGCAGCTGCCGCCAGGCGGCGCATTGCTCCAATTCCAGCAGCAGCAGGACACGCACCCACAGCCGGGGGGGGCGGCAGCAACGAGCGACGGCCCCGCGCCGTGTTCGCCGCCCGCGAAGCGCCGCCGCCTGGACGGCTGCGGCGGCGCCTGCGACTGCGACGGCCAGGCGGTTGTGGCGGGGCTGACGGCGAGCAGCCCCCGCACAGCAATGGTTGACGCCTGACACGCCCCTGCCGCACGCCTGCGCTCTGCAGCCGCACCCATGCCTTTGTGAACCCTTGTCATAGCCTGTGCTTACGCATTCCATTTTCCTTAGTGCATGGAGCAGCCAAGCCCTGGCCGTCACTCACATTATTCCACAGTTCAGCGAGAGGCGGCGCGCCTGAAGCTGCTCTGCAGCTTCTGGCCCCGGCCCCAACGCTACCTGCGAAGGGCATGCGGGGCCGGCCTGAGATTTGACGCGCTCTCTCCTCCTTCACAAGCGGTTTTGCCCGAGAGAGGGACGGCTCAGTGCCCGCTCACCCCCTCACCTGTCGCATCTGCTCGCATCGCCGCGCTAGCCGGCCGCGAGCGGTGCATTGACTCGCAGGTCTGCGTCGCATCCTAACACTTCGCGTATGATAGCAAAGCACAGCACAGCATCCCCTCGCCGCGCCGCGCCGTGCGGCCCTCCGCCTGCGGGGCTGGCGCTGCGGTTGGTCGTGTGGGTGGGCATTTCATCAACAGTGGGCATTCAATACTTTCGACTTGGCGTCGCTCAGGCAGGAGCCGCCGCGCCCGTGATCCCCTTGGCCGGGGCCGCGGTGCGCGCGGCCCGTTTCCTGGGGCGTGGGGCGCCGTAGCACGCGCCCCGCCGCGGCGCGACTCGGCGCCTTTCCTTGGAGCAAGGCACTCCAAACATTGCGCTACGCAGGTTGCGCCTGCGAGTGGCGGGGCACAGGCAGCTGGCTGCGGCCCAAAACGCGCTCGGCCACCCGTCAGCAAACAGCTGTCCGGCTCGTCGTCGGACCTCGCTCAAGGGCCCCGCCGCCGCTGACAGTGCATGTCGGCATCTGGCTGCACTGCCGTGCGCTGCACAGACACGTCTGTGAAACTGGGTGGGTTTGGTGGGGGTATGGAGGACACAGTGCAGGGCAGCTGTGCATTTTATACTTTGAGGGGCGGCACGATCTAGCCATAGGCAAAACGCCAAGCAGTGCATGCGATATGACGTGTGAGGCGGCTGTTCCACTGCCCCCGACATGGCTTCAGCGGCGGCAGGCGCCGGTGCCTGGCGCTTGATTGTTGCATGCACTGAGCGGCTTTGCCGGCGCGTCGGGACTGCCCTACGACCGCTCGTGCATGGGACCGTCAGCACCAGGCGGCCGTCATACTAGAGCTGCTGCACCCCGCTCTTCACCTGCACCCCAACCTCCAACGCTTGCTGCTTCGTCTGCTGAGCAGCATGGCCCATTGCACTTTGGGTGATTGTGGTAGACTTTTTTCGTAGCGCCCCATGCAGCACGCACGCCACAAATGCTAGTTTAGACAAGTGCACTGCATCGGCATCGACCGCAGCTGCATGGTGGCCTGCCGACATCCAGCCCAACGTGCGTGCTGCGGCGCCGGTCGCATCATTTGGTGGGGGCGCCGGCCGGTGCTCCCATGCAACTTTTGCATCCTGCATGTGTTTCGAAATTCTCCCCTGCCAGCCAGTCACACTCCAGAGCTTCACGGTGCGACCAACACGGCGTGCCCGTGCACGCACGCTCGCTCGCTCGCGTGCACCAAAGCTGGGCGCCACCCCAGCCGCCCTGCTTTGTCGTGGCCCCTGGTGCCCCGCCCAATGTCCATTTCATGCGCCCCGCCTCGGTGGTTTTTTGTTCCACACACCCCATGTGATGGAACGCTACATACCCTTTTTTGCCGCATGAGACCCACCTTGCCCACAACACGTGTGTGGCAAGCTGAGCGGTCAGATTCCTGGCGCCCATGCACCTGCAACTGCCCCACTCTCTGTCATCCTTCCAGCCCGCGATATGCCCTGCACCCTGGGAGCTTGCTTTTGGGCGTGGATGCGTCTCCTGTCAGACTGCCGCCACGCTCTTGTAACGAGGCGCCCTGCGGATTGGGATGGGGCTTGCACATGCACCTGGGGGCAGCTGGTCGTCTATCAGGACTGCAGTCAGACCTGGGGGCGAATCCACCATGCTGCTGGTGAACCGCCAACATTGGTGCCGTGCAGGTGACCTGCAACCTGGCAGTCAGAGCATTGCTGCCGAATTGCGTCCCTGTGTAACGGTCGCGCCATTGTCATGCCGTGTATCGTGTCTGTGTAAGGGACCTGACGGCAGATCTGTGCTCATGGCTTCTCCCGAAGCCTGCATGCACCGGGCTGCTTTCCGTGCGAGATGCTGTCTGGGCGTGCATCGGTTTGTGCGCCCGTGCGCTTGTGCGCATGGCCGCGCGCAAACATGAAGCAAGGACCGCAGCAAATCTGGAAGTTGAGATGTCTCAAAGACGCGCTTGACCACAGGGCATGCATGGCTTGTGCAGAGTCGCTCAGCCAACCTCGCTCCTTCACTCACCGCCAGTGGCTGGCCAACGAGTTTTCAAGAGCCCGATTTCGTGGACTGCCGTTGCGGGCTTTATCTTTGTGAATCTGCCAGAAACGACTGCGAAAGCTCCATCTGATACTTTTTGGCGCTTTCCTAACTCAACAGAACCTGTGAACCTCATTTGGAACAGCGCCCGCAGCCACCCAAAGCGAGTGCAGGAGCAACAACAAAGCGTATCGAAACTTCTGCAAAGTTTATTGAGACCATAACCGTGTCACGCAAACAACCAGCACAGTTACCGTGGGGCAGCACGTCACCCACCTTTTGGAAGGGCCGACGTCTCTTTTCATACGAGCGTCAATTCAGCGTCAAAATATGTCATAAGCGCTCTCTTCTGCACGACGAGCAGGAACCATACAGAAGCCAGAACGTGGTCGGGGCTCATGCGGAGAGGCGGGCTCTTGCTGGCGATGCTGGTTGCTACTGCAGGTGATAAATAGAAACCAACATTAGTATATTTCTGTGTCAGCGGCGTGTAGTGTTGACCATGCCGACGAGAGATCCGTGATGTGCATGCCCGATCGGAGGTCGTGCGATCAGTGCTGTACGTGGGTGATAATGCATCCAGAACGCGTTTGAGGATCCCACAGGCCGTTGAGCCGGGAACTCCCTTCGTTCCTGCCCGCTGAAGCGTGCCTTCATTCCTCCCGCGCTCGTTCTCGCCGCTTTGCTGCGCAGCCACCGCCGCTGCGCAATCCCCGCTGCTGTCGACCTGCAAGTCGGTCACCGACTTTGTGGCAGGCACCTCATCACAGGCGTTTCCGCGGGCCGGCACCACTGTGAGCAGAGATTGTGGAGGAATGTCGGCGTGCGTGGGGAGGGAGCCTGCACCGAGTGTGACGATGGCGTCAGCAGCAGTCTGTAGTGGTACTGCATCAATGCATGCAAATGCGAATTCGAAGCCACCAACAAGTCTCACGGGGAACCCATGCCCACAGGTGGTGCTGTCTGCAGCAGTATCTCTCACGCTCTCAGCGCTGCTTCTTAATCCTTTCACACGAGCCTGGATGGCTCCCGAAGCAGGCGGACGTGGGACGCTGTGAAACATCCTAGTCCTGTTACTGATCGTTGGCGCACGCAGTATGCACCAAACTCCATGTCGTCCCCACCCTGCATTTTTATCTCCCCCAGTTCTGCCCTACTGTGGACGCGTTCGACAAATTCGCCAAGGCCTCGGGTGCGCAGGGGCCCCAACATGCACGCTCCGCTCGCGCCGCCCTGCTCCGCCTCTGGTCCCCCAGAGTCCAGTGCTTCCCTTTCCTCCCTCACTCTTCGATCAACACGCATCCGCCTCTCAACGCGCACGCCACGCAGGCTACCAGTCCTGGGCGGGCCTCTTCTCGGACGCCCAGGCCAACCCCAGCGCCTGGAAGCCCTACCTCCGGCGGCTGATGTCATACGCCTACGTGCCGGCCCTGGCACCCATCTCGGTCATGCCGCAGGGCTCCTCAACCTTGACCACGTCCCTGGCGGACTCCCCGCAGTCCGGCGTGAGCGCGAGCAGCGCGTACGCGACCCTGAACATCAAGGTCGCGAAGAAGGGCAGCGTGACAATCTCGTTCACGCGCGGCGGCGGGGGCGCCGCGAACGGGAAGGCCAAAGTGACGGACCCGGACCTGCTCACGACGGCCTGTGAGTGCTGCGTTCGCCAGTGAATGCGTGACAGGCGGGCGGTGCTTGGGTTTCTGGAGGGGTTTTGGAAATAGGATTTCATTCATTCGAGAGCTGCTGCGTTGCTGCGGAGCACGCCAGCCTGACAACGAACTTGTCCTGCACACAGCACACACCCTGCACATGCTGCGGCCGGCTGAGCGACTCACCGGCCCAACCCTTGCGCCCCGACGCTGCTTCTTGCAGCCGCAGTGGTCCACGGGGTGAATGCGGTGCTGATGCCGCCCATGACCTTCCACACGCTGCGGCACGCCTCCAGAACCCTGAAGAATGTCAGGGGCACGGTGAGGGAGATTTTTGGTGGGGCGCTCTTTCTCATTTCTCAAGGCAATGTAAGAATCACAGGCCTAAACGCTCGCAATGTGTGTGCAGAAAGGCCTGGCAGCTGGGGAGTGAGCCCCCAGCTGATGAGCCCTGGGCGTTTCGAGGCTCGGTGATTGGCAGCACTGTGCAGCATGGCACGTCGCTGCAATGCGGGCACAGACGCCCCCTCCCCTGCCCAACTGGACCGCTGACGGCCCGTGGTGTGCCCTGCTGCATTGCTTTGCAGGCACGCATCATGAGCAAGATCATGAAGGAGCAAATCAGGACGGCTAACACCTGGGCCACTGTGAGAGAAACTCTGTTCACGCAAGGAGGCCGGACAGCGCCAGTGTGGGGTTGTGCATAGAACCTCAAACCAGCTCGGGCAACAAGGCAGGCTCGTTGCTCCATGCAAGCCCCAGGGTTGAGGCGTGTGCGCATGCACCCGTCACTGGTCCCCCTGCCATCTCGCTTACCCTGCCGCGCCCATGCCTGCGCTTGCGCCTGTGCGCAGGTGGTGATGCCGACAGACGCGGCCTGGAAGGCGATCACGTTCAAAGGCAAGAGCAGGGTGCCGGCCTGGGTGGGCAACATCACCACAAACGACGTGTTGAAGGACAAGGCGCTGATGGAGGCGATGATGAAGGTGAGATCGGGATCTTGTGCATGGTGCAGATCCGACCGCAAATCTTGCGGTTCTGACCTGGTCACACGTGGGGTCTGTCACAGGCTCGCAGCGGGGGCAAGGGCTGGCGGTATGAATGGGCTTGACCGGGTCGCTGGCGTCGGGTGTAGTCAGCCACCCCTTGAAGAACGTTTTCCGATGCGACAGCAGCGCAACTGCCGGCGTCTGCGCGCTCCTTCTGCCCCCTCAGTACTCGACCATCAAGATGCCCACCTGGGATGGGGCCGAGGTGCTGACGTACTCGTCCCTGTACAAGATCTGGCAGCTCTCGGGCGGCCAGAACTTCATCAGCATGCCGACGTCCCTGGTGGCGGGGCCAACGCAGCGGGCTTTCTACACGTGAGCGTGCTGCGCCAGCTGTCAGGGTTGTTGCACGCTACTGTATGGGAATCTATGAATGATGGCGTCACAGGGCGAGGCCCCCGGGCGGATGGTGCCTGGCCGGACTTGCATACGGGGAGCGCACGGAAATTGTGCAACCGCCCACGCCGATTGGGTGGGACGGGGCCGTGATGCGCCGTGCAGTGCTTGGCGGGCGGGGCTGGCCCGGCATAGTTCGGGCTTGTTCGGTGTCCGGGGTGGATTGGTGCACGGCTGTAGAAGGTACAAAAAGGGTGCAGGGAAACCGCATGTAGCACTGTTCAGCCAACCAGCTGACCGACCCGCCCGACACAACGATTTGCAGGTATGACGCCGGCTCAGACAAGCTCTATGCAGTCGGCGGCCGCAACATGCGCGGCGCCCTGGTCGCGGCCGACGACAACTCCTACATGCCAGGCGCGGAGATCTCCAAAAAGACCGTGTTTGCGGGGTGCTCCAGCGTGCTGGTCTTGGACGGTTATGTGCCCCTCCCAGACCGGGTGAGCGCTGGTTGGGCCAGGGGGCTGTCAGGCACGCTGGAGAGTGCCCAGCGCGCCACGCGGTGCGCTTGGATGGAGTTATCAAAATCAGGCGGCGTCTGCCAATGCGCCGGCGGGCTGTTGATGTGAGCAGCGTGGCGGCTCGTCGTGCTGCAAGATGAAGCAGGGCGCGCGAGCAGCTGAGCCACTGGGCACTGGCCAGGCGCGCGGCGGCTGCATCGCCGTCATTCATTGCAGGCGCCGGCCCTCTCACCCCTCTTGCCCGCCCGCTCTGCTTTGCCCTGACGACTCATCGCCCTGCAGACCGGCCTGACAAAGTACGACAAGCGGAAATCAAATCGGTGACAGATGGGTGTCAGGTGACGTTCGGTCACTGAAGGTCACCTGACGCAGGTTCGATTCCTCTTGAGAGCTGCGAAGCGTCATTCTTTGCTGCCCTGGTCGGCTGACGGGTTGCTTCTCCTCTGATGGCGGGGGCAGCACTGAGCTCTGTGCGCCCCTGCGCTGCGGCGCCGACATGCGCGAGACGGGACTTGCGCGCAGCGCCGGCCAGCACAGGGCGTGCCGGATTCCTCCTCAACCTTACTGAACAAGACATCACGGAAAGAACCCTGACATATTCTTTGCTTGTTCTGGCGGGGATTCTGGCGGGGGGAGCCTCAACGATCGAGTGATCTGTGCATGACAGCGCGAGAGTGCGGCTCGCCCCAGCAGCTTCCCGGGCCGCCACCACGCGCGGCTGCTCTGCAGTGTGGCGAGCTTGTGCACGTGTGCGCGTCGCCCTCTCAGCGCCTCCACGCAAGCCTCCCGATCACCTCAACGTGTTTCTTTTGATGGCACTGCAGGCAGCCCCGCATCGCCCCCGCAGCTTTGCTCGCAATGCTTCCGATCCATTTCGGCGGCACGCAACCTGCTGCCTTCTATCTTGGTCCCTGCTCGGCTTGTTGTCGCGCTGACCGCCGGATCAACGCCCATGCTCGGCGCCGCCCGCTGTAGCAGCACCAGCCCCTGCCCTTCTTTTCGCATCCGCCGTCGGGTCTCACTGCGCCGTGGCCATGCAGGCAGGCGAGGGGGCACCGGACTGACCCTCACTACTTTCATCTTTTACTGCACGCCTGTTGCATGTTGCACATTACATCCTGTGCCATTCACCCTGGGTCTGACAAGAGCCATGGCGGACACGCGCGCATCATGCACATGTGCCTGCATCCTCCCGGGTCAGCCGTGGGCGCAGCGCCTTTCCACCCCTTCACCCGTCCGCATGTGTGGTCGGGCGCCTGCAGCACGGTGGTTATTGTTGCTTGTTGCTGACGCTGTTGATAGCAAGCAGGCAGGACAAATGTATCTCGCAGCTGTCTGCTGCGGCCAGCACAGTGCCTTTGCTCACCCATCACTTCCCTTTTACACATGTTTGACCTGATTAGGGTTGACCAACCGCAGACATCCTCTTGGATGGGTCATACCTTGGCACGCGCCGGCGAGAGCAGCCGCTGCACGCCCCATCACTGCTGATCAAGATTGTTGACACACCATATTCTGATTAGATTGGGCGGCGCTTTCCTGACCGCCCCGGTGCCCTGTTGTGCTGCCGCAACTTGCATCCAGCCCGAGGCTACCTAACCCACCTGCAAGCGAGCGGCGCGAGGCTTTGGCGGGCGGCTGACGGGCTGGCAACAGCAGCTGACGGGAGTCACCAGAGCGAGGGGCAGAGCAAGCTGCTTGGCCACCATCTCTTCCGCGCCCAGCCCCTCATTGAGCCCGGGAAGCCAGCGATGCCGTCCCACAGCAACCGCCATTTGTCACATCCCTGCCTTCTTTGCTGCAACATTCAACATATTCTGTCGGTGGGCGAAGCTAACCCCACCAGCGCATCTCCTGCCATCCCCTTGGATTTGACATGTAAACTGCTTTCTCAGAAACAGCAGCAAACGTGGGATGTCATCTTTTGATTTGGATACAGTAAAGTCTCTTTACCCTGACCAGGTTCAAGAAGTTGTGACATCTTCTGAAACAGTCAACCCAAGCCTCTGGCCCCCATATTGTAGGTTATGGCACTTGGATGTTGAATATGCAATGTAGCAACTTGGACATATGCCGGTCAGCAAATCGATGCAGTGCCCTCGAGCCACTCTTCAAAATGCAATGCAACCGGGGCAAAAATCAGCAGATTCAGGCCAAATGCTGCTCAGTTGCCAGCCCTCTCCTCCCTCCAGTTCCTCTGGCCTGGCATTGGGCAAAATTATTGATGAATTCTTTAATCAGCCTCATCCATGGCCTTGTTTTGCTGCTGGCAGACGTGTGTCTCGTGCTCATCACCAATAACTTCTTTTTGAAAGCCACCTGCCTTTGTCATTCCCTGGTCGAATTATTGCGTATCTTGAGATCAGCGCACCTGGCAGGCATGCAGGCGCGCCCGAAATCATACAGTGCAGAACTGGCTGGCGCGCAGATTGGCTGACCGTTCGTTCGTGAGAGCGGGCCCTGCAGTCGGCGACAGCACAGGCCAACACAGCATAGGACTCCCGTGCTGCTCAACTCGCCGCCTTCCCCGAGCTTGTAGAAGACTGCGCAGCCTCAATGTGCTCCATGACATCCATTTATTTAGACCCAAGTGCTTGAACTCAGGTAGCCGGCAGTGCAGCCAGGCTGAAGCTCTGCTGTCGCTGCAGCAGACATGTGGCGAGCGTGATGGACTGCGATGGGCGCAGTCAGGTGCTTGAGTGAACGGGACCTCATTTCTACAGTGTACACGCAGCCTGGGTGGCTCCAGAAGCGGGCGATTGTGGGACGCTGCAACAACCCAGCCTAATCCGGACCAGCACGCACTGTGGGACCCGGTGCACGCGTGCTTTCACAGCAAGAACAGCATGCAGCCACCTAAATCTTTCTCAAACAACTTTGATGCTTCAAAGCCCAGTCCTATAAGCCTGGATGGCAAACAAATCCGCTGCTGCTGTATGCTGCAGCAATGCTACAAGAGGACAGACCAACATGCTTGCCACCCCATAGGCAATGACATCACCGCCGCCCGCGGCTCCGCTTGCCACCGCTCGCTCCCGCCGCCGCCTGCCGCGTCATCTCGCCACTGCGGCCGCCTCAGCCGCCGCCGCCCTTGCGGCTGCCCGTGGTGCCCGCGCGCATCCCAGCCGCAGCCGAGGGCACATAGTCACTGTCGCCACTGTCGTCCTTTGATGTGTCACCCTCATCCTCGGACCCGTCGCCCCTGCCTGACCCCTCCACCCTCCGCTGCCGCTTGCAACTCACTCCGCCGCGCCGCATGGGCGCGCCGGCTGCGCCGCCCGCCAGACGAGGTCGCCTGGCGCGTCTGCAGCTCCTGCCGCGGGTGCTGCTGCTGCTGCTGCTGCTGCTGCTGCTGCTTCTGCTGCTGTAGCTGCCCCTGCCGTAGGCCCGCCAGGGCCCTTGCTGCTGCGCTTGTGTACATGGCGATGCACACTGCGGCCCCACCTCCTGATAGTGGCGCAGCTTCCGCAGGCGGGGCTAACGCCGCCCGCACGGCTGCGGCTGCAGCGGCTGCCGCGGCCTCCCGCTGCTGCTCCGCTTGATGCCGCTCTCTTTGAAGCAGCTGCTCCGCCTCAGCCAACCGCCGCTCCGCGTCCTCCTGCCGCCGCCGCAGCTGCGCCACCTGCCGCTGCAGCCCCAGGGCGCGCCGCCGCTCCTCAGCCAGCTGCCGCTCCAGCTGCGCCGCGGCGCCCGGCGGTGCCGGCGCGAGCTCGGCCGCCAAATCAGTGTGTCCATGTTCCAAAGCCACCTGCGCTGGCGTGTTGCCATCCTTGTCAATGGCCTGCTTGTCTGCGCCGGCCCGAACGAGAGCACGAGCGACGTCTGTGAGGCCTAATTCTGCCACACAGTGCAGGGCCGTCGCGCACCCGGCATCAGTGGTGTCCATGAGCGCATCGGGTCCCGCCGCCGCGAGCAGCAGCTCTACGGCCTCGGGGCGCTCCGCCCACATCAGCGGCGTCCAATTGCCGGGAACGCCCGCCCGCGGATTGGCCCCCGCGTCGAGCAGCAGCCGCAGCGCCTCCACGTGTCCATCGGACTCCCCGAGTGCGGCAAAGTGCACCGCCTTGCAGCGCCTCCCAGCAGCCGGCGATGCAGCCGCTGCGGCGTCGGGCCTCAAGTGCCGCAGCAGGACCGCCACGATACTCAATTTGGCGTGGAAGCAACTGTACTCGAGTGGCGTCATTGCGCTGGGAGGCGGTGGGATGCCCAAGGGATGGCATGGTCTAAAGGGAGCCGCAGCATTGATGCCAGTGGAAAGCAGGCGCGCTGCCTCTGCCGCGTCGCCGGTGTGACAAGCAATCCAGAACGCCTCCTCGTCAGCATTGGCGAAGGGCCGCTTATCCTCTTCGCTCTGCGCAGCGCAGAAATTGTTCGATGTGCAAAGAGAAGGGGAGAGGCTGCAAATACCCAAAAGGTTGACAAACCCAGTGCACCTGCTGCTGCTGTTGCTGCTGCTGCTGCTGCTGCTCCATCAGGGCGCCGGCGGTGCTGACGTCCGGCGGCAGGGATCTTCGGTTGAGGCCCCTGAGCCTTGGCCTGAGAGCCCTGACGATCAACACGCCTCCGTTTTCAAGTGTCTGTTGTATCAGGCTGAGAGAACATCAGGCTCGCAGTGCACTACAGTACGCGAGTCGACCGAGATCACCAGATCGTAGATCTACGATCTGCGTATGTTGTATTCGCTCTCAAAATGGGATGGAACCGGTTTCAACGTCCTAAATTTGCTATGGCAGTTCGCTTTCACTCTTCACTGTCACTCTCACTGCACCCTGGTGGCAACTGCATGTCAGCCTGGTTGCGTTGCACTCATGATGCAGACAGGCGAAGAGATGGTGTGCAAGCGCCCTGAGAACCGGAGGTCTACAGAGCACGTGCGTGACACTGGGTACGACTACCCCACATATCAGCCTCTGCGGCCTCCCATTGAGGACAGGCATGCTCAATCATTTGACTGTGGTCAAAGGGGCTGCATCACGAGGGGCCTAGCTCAGCTCCCCGGGATGGTAAGGGCAACTGGAACGCACCCCTCACTAGACATCAAGCCGGCAATACTTATTACAAAGGCCGCGCATAATCGCCCCATTTTGATGCCCGCAAGCCCGAGCCGCGGTGCTCCTCTGGTGGGTGCATGTGTCCCAGCTTAGGTGCAGGGCGTGTGTTTTTGCCCCTCCATCCTGCCTGCCGATAAAAACAAGGGCCCAGCAGCGGCAGCTTCTGAAGGCAAGCCAAATGTCTCTGCATATTAGCCAGGGGCATGGTCAGCGACCATGGCTCACCAGGTCTGCAGGTGGGCACATACTGCAGCATTCGCAGTCCAAGTGTCACCAGATACATGGGTGTGATTTAGACTTCCAACCAAACCGCAAGTCACGCACGCCGGGCAGCATTTGGCAAATATCAAGCATCCGCCGCAGTGCCGTCCTCTGACTCATCGCCAACATCCTCCGGCTCCCCACGCGGCCGCTTGCGCGCCGCCGCAGCACCGGGGCCCGCATGTGCCGCCCTTGCGGTGGTGCTGGCAGGCTCCTGCTGCAGCGTACCAGGGGGCAGCCTCACCACTGCCGCGGCTGCTCGCTTCTTGCGCATGGCGCTGTCTGCTGTGACCCGCCCGCCTGGCATCCCCGCCTCATGCGCTGCTGACGGCACGAGCGACTCCATGAGAGCTGCGGCTGCCGCGGCCGCCCTGTCCAGCCGCACCTGCAGGTCCGCGCACCGCTGCTGCTCCATCGCCAGCTGTTGCTCTGTCTCACGATGCCGCTGCTGCTGGAGCTGCTGCTGCTGCTGCTGCTGCTGCTGCTGCTGCTGCTGCTGCTGCTGCTGGAGATGGAGATGGAGCTCATGGAGCTGCTGCTCGAGCTGCTTCTGCTGCGCTTTCAGCTGGGCGTTCTCAATCATCGTCTCCTGCGTCTTGGCCTCGGCTAACGCTTTGGCCCGTTTGGTGATCTCCTGCAACGTGATGACGTGTGATGAAGTAACGTGGACGAGGGTGGACTCATGCACACGGAGAAATTTGTTGTTGAAACCAGGTGAGGAGTGCGCGTCTACGCACGATTCAAGATGAGCGCGCCTGTATATGGGAGCACACATGCGCGCGCATTCAAATGGGGTGGATTGCTTGCCAGCAGCACGCAATGCACACCCACCCACCTGCTCCATCGCCCTCTTTTCCTGCATCCTCGCGCTCATGGCCTTCCAGTAGCGCTCCCCGTAGTCAAAAATCAGCTGAGGAATAAACCAGCAGCAGAGGCGGAACCAGTGTCGGTCAGATGCGGACCACTCAAGCCCGACGAGACACGCAGTGACGGCTGTGTTCAAGCAGCAAAGAAGCGGCTGCCACAAAGCGCGCTCTTCGTACCTCGTCGCCAGCCTCCACGGCCGCCGTGGTAAGGAGGAAAACGTACACGCGCTCGGTGACGTGGTCGGCCACGGTGATTCCCGCGACATTGGAAGGGATCCCCGGCAGCCCGTCATCAGGGTTGGCGTCGTAGTCCCTGAGCGCGACGGGGCGGCGCGGAGTGCGGCGGCAGTGGTTGACGTGTTGGTGAGCCACAAACAGGCCAGATGCAAGCAGCGGTCGCGCTGACTCAGCGCAACATGTCGATAAGCCTTGCACTTCGAGCATGCCTCTCTCCTCCCCCCCCAGCGGGTGGCGCAGCTCTGCAGGGTACACATGCAAGCAAGGGCTCGTCATGCCCTTGCCCTCACCGGCCATCGTTGAGCTCTGCGGTGACGTTGGCCCCCTGGGCCGCGTCAAGAGTGCACTGCACGGTGCTCGTGCGCGTGCGCCCGCCTGGCACGGACATCACCAGCTCCAGCATGTACCTGTGACGACAGAAGGGGACACGGCGTCTAGGCGTCAGGCCATAAGCGTCAAAGGAAGGGAGGGATTAACCCACGCACGCACGCAGCTATCAGGCTGGGTCAAAGCGGGCCCAAAAAGCAGTCATACCCCATGCCTAGCTGACGGTGTGCGCCTGCGCAGCAGCGCCCTGCTCGCCCAAGCCTCGCGGTGCTTGTGGCAAACCCACTCGAACTGCTCAGGCGCGCGGCGAAACAGCGCGTCTGCTTTCCTGTCGCTGATCACGCGGCCGGCGTAGGGCGCCAGCAGGATGACTGGCGGGAACGCGGCGCGCGAAAGGGTGGTGGTGGTGCTGTGTGACTGCAGTGCTTACGACTATTTGTGTGATTGAGCTCATGCTTGCATGCGATTGGGGCGGATGTGGAGCACAACAAGCGTTGGAAAATTCTGGTGATTTCCGGCACACGTCTCTGTGCCAGGCAGGGAGGCGACTGCCGCCCGCGCCACCCCCTGCCGCCTCCCTGCTGCCCCCCGCTGGGCTCGCCACTCACATGGCTCCAGTCGCCTTGAGGCCACCACCATTGAGGCCGACACCTCCGGGTTGAAGCGGCACACCCTGTGCTCCGGCGGCGCAGCAACCACCTTGCACCAGGGGTCCCATACGCTGCCGCAGCCTGCAGCATAGGCGGTTACGCCGGCCGCTAGATGTACGCGCAGGAGCTCTAGCTGAGGCGGGGTGATGCCGCAGAGCGTGGTGTTGAGCTCCTGCAGAGCGCAAGCAAGTGGTCGGCAAAGGGCGCGACTTTCGCGCTTCCGTTGCGCACGCCGTGCGTGGTGCATGGCGTGCCAGCCGGCACACATCATGTGTGCCAAAAAAGATGCCAGCACGGTGCGACACCAATACCAGCAAAGAAACAAGATGAGCCCCAGCGAACCGATGATTATTCATAATCCAAGGGCAATCCAAGGGCAGCGAGGCCCACCTTGATCACAAACCGATCTTGATGGCCCGTCTTGGAAGGGTCGGCGCTGTGGAAAACGCTCAGGCCCTGTTCATCATACGGCAAGAACTCTGCTGTCTCGCCATCCAGCCCGATCTGGACCGCATCCCGCTTCTGCAGCTCGCGCTCGTCGCAGCAGACGGCCGCTCGAGACGCCGCGAACTCGGCGCCCCAAGGCGCCAGCTCGGCCAAGGTCATCGGGCGCTCCCTGCCGCGCAGCCGTGCCCTTTCGACGTTCAAAGTGGCCAAGGCCTGCCGGAACCGCACTTTTGCGTCAGCTGCCGTTGCCCCCTCTTGCGCAGCTGCCGTCTCCCTCGCGCCCACGGTTTCGTCCGACCTCCGAGCCGGCGCTGCCAGTGGGTCATGCTGTGCCGCTGTGCCGCCACCAGGGGAAGCCGCATGGCGCGTCTGCTGCTCCTCCTGCTGCTGCTGCTGCTGCTGCTGCTGCTTCTGAGAAGACGGCGCGTTCTGCAGGGGCGTGACAGCTGTGGCGGCTACGGTCGTGCGCATTGCGCTGCCTGCTCCCGCCACACGTAACGCTCCGTCGCCATCATCGTGGGATGGCGCAGCGTCTGCGGGCGCGACAATTCCCGCCTGCACGGCTGCCCGAGTTGCAGCTGCCGCGGCCTCCCGCAGCTGCGCCACCTGCCACTGCAGCCCCAGGGCGCGCCGCCGCTCCTCAGCCAGCTGCCGCTCCAGCTGCGCCGCGGCGCCCGGCGGCGCCGGCGCGAGCTCGGTCGCCAAATCAGTGTGTCCTCGTCCAAAAGCTAACGCCACCTGCGCGGGCGTCTTGCCAGCCTTGTCAACAGCCTGCTTGTCTGCGCCGGCCCGCACCAGAGCTTGCGCTGCGTCTGTGCGCCAGTCTTTTGCCGCGTAGTGCAGCGCCGTCCAGCCGGAGTAATGGGCTGTGTCCATGAGCGCCTCGGGCCCCGCCACCGCTAGCAGCAGCTCAACTGCCTCGGGGCGCGCTGCGGACATCAGCGGCCTCACCCTACCAGACTTGGAAGTGCAGCGCGGATTGGCCCCCGCTTCAAGCAGAAGCCGCAGCGCCTCCACGTGTCCATCGGACTCGCCGCGTGCGGCCCAGTGCACCGCCGTCCAGCGCTTGCCAGCGACCGACGATGCAGCCGCTGCGGCGTCGGGCCCTAAGTGACGCAGCAGGACCGCCACAACATTTGAGTGGCCGTGTATGCAACTGTGCTCAAGTGGAGTCACATTGTCAAAGAAATGTGACATGCCCAAGTAACGGCGCGAGCTGTAGGGGGCGGCCGCGTTGATGCGCCCCGTTGCAAGGAGGCGCGCCGCCTCTGCCGCATTGTCGGTGTCGCAAGCACGGCAGAACGCCGCCTCCTCGGCCAAGGCGATGGGAACATCATAATCTTTGCTCTGCGCAGCGCGAAGTATGTTGTGTGAGCAAGGACAAGGGGTGGGACTGCAAGGCGCCGACAGGTCGACAGACCCAGTGCACCTGCTGCCGCGGATGCGGCGGCGGCGGCGGCGTCATCGTATCAGGGCGGTGCTGGCATCCAGCGCGTCGGGTCTTCGCTTGAGGCCCTGGCCTGCTGCGAGGCCCGACGAGGAACACGCCTCTGTTGCCACGCCTTCTGTTTGGAACAGATACAAATGAGACTCGGGCCCGCAGTATGCGACCCGACGACGGAGATCCACGATCTGCGTGTTTTGTGTTCGCCCACAGGATGCAATCTAGCGACCTGATTTGGTACGGGTACTTGCATTCACTCTCCACTGTCGCTTTCACTGCACCCTGGTGGCAACTGCATGTCAGCCTGGTTGCGCTGCGGTAATGCCCAGACGAATACAGGTGAACAGAGGGTGTGCAAGCGTGCTGACGACCAGGGGTCTGCAGAGCACCTCATGGGTTACACTGGGAACGACTACCACACGCATCACCCTCTCCAACCTCCCGTTGCAGACAGGCATGCTCGGCGGGTATGTTTGACTGTGGTCAAAGGGGCTGCGTTGCGAGGGGCCTAGCTCAGCCCCCAGGGATGGTAAGGGCAGCTGGAATGCACCCTTCACTACAAGTTAAGCCGGCGATGCTGTTTACAGGGGCCGCGCATGGTCGCTTCAGTTAACGCCTGCAAAGTTGAGCCGCGGCGCTCCACTGGTGCACCAGATGGGGCGGAGTCGGTGCTGTGGACTTGCAACCAAACCTCAGGTCGTGTGCGCGGGGCTGCGTCGGCAAACGTCTAGCAGACAACAAAAACCAGCCGAGATGGCATCAGCGGTTTGAACCAGGCAAGGCCTTATCCCACCTCCTGAAGCGGCTGCACAAACGGTCCTGACAACACCCCCTTAACACCCACTGCTAGGGGCCCATGGCTCCCCACTACCACACGCGGCTTTGCATTGTAATGCGGCCTACCAGCACACGGCTGCCACCGCCCGCAGCAGATACCGTACCAGCTTGAAACACCCAAGATCAACAATGACATGATCTGAAGTCAGGGAGTCAAATCAGATCCTCAGGCGCGCCATCTGTTCCTGTGTTGGCCGCCGCACATCCCATGCTAGCCCCGCCGCCTCCAGCAGCCGTATAAATGAGTAGCTCGCGTCCAGCTGCCAAGGCTCCAGGCCGTGCGCGGCCGAGGCGGGGAACGCATGATGGTTCGCATGCCACCCGTCGCCTGCAGGGTGCGGTGAGTTGGAGGTGAGTGTTTTCACAAGGTCGCGTCAGTAGGCGACAAGGTGGTGGGACGCGGGGTGCGGGCGCATTCGTGTGCAAGCCGGCAAGCAACCATGACTGTCAGCAGAGGAAAACCGAGTCGGCAGGCGGCCAGTTTGGCAGGGCTCATACTCGCTTGCGTGCTCGTCAGGCCCCAGCCGTCATTGCCCTCACTACTTGCTATCAGCGGTGGGCGCTGGAGCCATGGCACAGCAAAGGTTGCTGTCATCCGGCACGGGCCGGACCCGGGCAGGAGGCGCACCAAAGACGAGCAGCGCAACGAGGGCGTTGTTGCGGGACGAATCGCCGGTTCTCCAGGGCTGGTCCCCCCACACGTGCACCACAGAGTTGACCAGCCAAGTCCTGCGGCGTGCATGAACAAGAGTGCAGTGGCGGAGCGGGACAACCTTGCAACCCGTGCTTCAGAGGAGGCCTGGCATTTGACAAAGTGTGAGCCGGCAGTCAATGTATTGAAAGGCCAGGCTGGATACCCCTTGCCACCTGCCCCGACCACCGCCCAGCAGCATCGTCCCCTTGTGGCCTTGTGCGCAGCACACGGCTCGCTCACATGTTCTGGGTAAACAGCACACGGATCTGGGGTTAAAATAGTGAGCATCAGGGTCATAGATTATGTGTTTGTGGGTTGGCGCTGAATCGCATATTCGCCAGGTGTGGCGGGGGTGGGCGCATGCAAGCGCACTCAGGTGCTGGCAAGGGCGTGCACTCACATCGGTAGCCACCCAGCCAGCCACTGGCGCTCTGGCAGAGCGCCGCCCCGGAAGGTGGCGTTTGGGCCCCTTGGATCAGCCAAACTCCCGCTGCAGCCGCGCGCCCAATTGTATTGAGTATGAATGAGTACCCCCTTGCAAAGCGCGGCTGCCGCCCATCATTAGCGCAAGGAGCGCTCACCACGAAGCCCCAGATGAAGCCGGGCAGCCCCCAGATCGCAGCAAACGCCACAGCCTGGCCCAGCATGTGCAGCATGTAGGTCTCACGCAGCCAGCCATCTGATAAGATGGAAGATCAGCAGGCACAGGATACCACATGGCAGACGTTCACAAGTCTCATAAGACCTGCTATTTGTTGCAAGCCCAGGGGGTGCATGCCAATGCGCATGCACACCCCACATGCACCGCCCACATGCACATGCACACATGCACAAGCCCACATGCACGTGCGCGCAAACACATGCCCGCACAAGCACACATGCAGACGTTGATACTGCAGCAGCAGCCAGGACCCTGCGACCGTGCTCCTTACAGAAGCCAGGAGACTCGACATAGAACCAGGGCGCCGCCAGGTCATCCTTGCTGTTGCCCTTGGGGTCGCGCCGCGAGTCAGCGTATGACTCATCCAGCACCCAGCCCCACTGCAGCCACAGAGACCGAGGAAGTCAGGGAAAAGAAAAGGGGTGGGCGGGGCCACATAAGGCTGGCAGGGAGACACCTGGGGCAAAAGACATTCAAAAGCAATAGCGCACTGCTCGCCCCCTGTTGCACGACAGGCGCGAAAAACAATGCTGGCATCCAACTGGCATAGGGAGGGATGGGAAACAGCTAGCATCGCTGGGCAGCCATAATCAGCAAAGCAGCCTTCCCTGCCCCCCCCCCCAGCACTCACGTGAGAGTGCCAGATGCCGTCGCGCGGTGAGTGCCGGTCCGCAGGCGTGTCGCTGTTGGCGTGGTGCCATGAGTGGCCCTTGGCCCACTCGATCGGGTCTCCTGCGGCGGTTTGGGCGTGGCTGCCTGTGGTCAGCGGCCAGGGTGGCAAAGGGCCCGCCAAGGGTGCATTGCTTGGGCAGGCTCGCAACCATGATGGCGTGCAGCTTCAATCTGCATGGAAATTTGTACTGTCAGCAACAGCTGCACTGCAGGCGCTCGGATCGCACCCTCAAACGCCAGTGCGCCGCAGTATGCAAAAAAGTATTCCAGGGGCTTGGGGCACCTAAAGGACTTGTGAGATAACTGCCTAAGGGTGGTTTTGCAAGGGGCAGCAGCAATTCTTGAGAAGTTGTTTAGGGGTAGCTATTGATGTTCAAGTAATACAAGGCGGCTGCACACCGCCGCTTCCCATGCAAGCTGCTCTAGGTGCTGTTGTGATGCACCCGTCAGAATTGGCATGTTGGGGCGGGGCCCAGAGGGTTAATTTGGGGGGGGG